ATCATCCGGAAAGTGGGTACAATAGCAACATCTCCCTCACTGTTGTAGTAAGTTGCTGTAGAAATCTTGGCTGTTAAGAATTACATCATTAGACAGAGTTATCCCTTTTCCTGCATTAAATTTCATTGGAGCGGGCAAGCTGGGCTCATCCTCACTGCCCTCCCTGTTCCCTTTGGTCAGGAGTCTCATCACTAAGCTGACCACACTTTTCACCTCTATCCTTCAGCCTAGAAAAATCGTGCAAGCCTCCCTGGAATAAGGGCCTTTGCAGTCCCCTTGTCACATGGAGGCGTCCAATAGCGTCCCCGCCCCTCCAGCACAGTGCTGTGCAGTGGTGAGGGGCACTGGCTTCGAATCCCACAGAACTTAGTTTGCAGCCCTGACCCTCACTGTGAGGTCTGGGCCAGCTGACTTCACCTCTCATTTTTTCTTTTCTTTCTTTTTCCTTTCCTTTTCTTTTCTTTTCTTTTCTTTTCTTTTCTTTTCTTTTCTTTTCTTTTCTCTTCTCTTCTCTTCTCTTCTCTTCTCTTCTCTTCTCTTCTCTTCTCTTCTCTTCTCTTCTCTTCTCTTCTCTTCTCTTCTCTTCTCTTCTCTTCTCTTCTCTTCTCTTCTCTTCTCTTCTCTTCTCTTCTCTTCTCTTCTCTTCTCTTCTCTTCTCTTCTCTTCTCTTCTCTTCTCTTCTCTTCTCTTCTCTTCTCTTCTCTTCTCTTCTCTTCTCTTCTCTTCTCTTCTCTTCTCTTCTCTCTCTTCTCTTCTCTTCTTTTCTTTCCTTCTATTTTTGCCTCTGGGAATTGAGGACAGTCATCTCTACTTTGTATGAAGGTTATAACAATAAAGACAATGGGTGTAAAGAAAATAACCTCAGCCTGGGTTTGGTGCACTTTCATCCAATCAGAGAATAGTTGCTGAGCGGCTGCTGGGACCAGTGCTCAGCAGATCCTAAGTGGAGGCATGTCCATCCTTTGCTAAGAGAAGGGGGTGCTTCCCTCCTTCCAGCCCGTTTTCCTGCAGCAGAGCCTAAGCTCTGTGAGTGAGAGAGCAAGAGTCTAGGTCAGTGGTCGGCAAACTCATTAGCCAACAGAGCCAAATATCAACAGTACAACGATTGAAATTTCTTTTGAGAGCCACATTTTTTAAACATCCAGCTCACACATCTTCTCTGCCTCCTGCAGACTTTGTCTCTTATCCTCTATGTCAGTGGTCGGCAAACTCATTAGTCAACAGAGCCAAATATCAACAGTACAACGATTGACATTTCTTTTGAGAGCCAAATTTTTTAAACTTAAACTATATAGGTAGGTACATTGTTATTAACTTAATTAGGGTACTCCTAAGGCTTAGGAAGAGCCACACTCAAGGGGCCAAAGAGCCGCATGTGGCTCACGAGCCGCAGTTTGCCGACCACGGGTCTAGGTGGATGGGGCTTGTTTCCTGCCAGCGAAAGTCACACCCAAACTGGACAGAGATCAAATTTGTCAGGGGGAGGCGGGAGGAAGGTGATGCTAATGAGTGTAGCTATAAAAGAACTTTTTTATGGGGGGGGGGTCAGAGGTCACGGGCAAAGCCTCTCTCCTGACCCCCAGAGGGGTCACTCTGGAGAAGCTGCTGCCTGCTTTGTAAAAGTTAAGGCACCCAGAGGTTGAAGGACCTGGCCTTAGGTCACAGGACTAGAAATGGAATTAAGAAGAGGAGCCAAGTTTTCATGGCAGGTCAGTTTGTCCTGGCAGCCAGGACCACTCCACTTTGCTTTAAGCTGTGCCTTTCTCGTTGATGGCAGGAACAGGTTATTTGGTGTATATGTGTTTTATTTGATTCTCCTTTCTAACTCTTTAACATCTTTCATGTTTTCCTATAACAGTTTTTCCTCAAAGTGTGAACTTTAGACAGCTTGTATCAAAATCAGTGGTGGTGCCTGCTTTAGGTGCAAATCTCTATACTCTTTGCTAAATCTAAATCGGAGTGTCCAGTCACGCAGTGGTTCTCAACCTGTGGGTCGCGACCCCTTTGGCGGTCAAACGACCCTTTCACAGGGGTCGCCTAAGACCATCCTGCATATCAGGTATTTACATGACGATTCATAACAGTAGCAACGTTACCGTTATGAAGTAGCAACGAAAATAATTTTATGGTTGGGTCACAACATGAGGAACTGTATTTAAAGGGCCAGAAGGTTGAGAACCACTGGGTGGAAGCCTGCGTTTTAACAAACTTGCCAAGTGATTCTACCTCCCACTGAGGCAGGCAGTGAGCAGCACTCAATGTTCCAACTTCCTCTGACTGGGGGAGGTCCTTCCTACGCATCTCACCTGGTCGCCTTGCCCCACAGAAGACCCAAAAGCATGGATCCACGTCAGCTTGAGCAGCTCCATGGTTATTCCTCGAAATGAAAGGGTAGCTGTGTGCCCCTTGGCCATGATGCAGAAGTAAAATTCAGAATTCAGATTTTCAACTTCAAATCAAGATCAGGAATGGTTCCTATCTTCTCTGAACTCCTTCACAAACGTGTTAGAACACAACCCAAATGCACAGAAATGTTCAAAAATAGCACTAGTATGAGGCCGGCCTACTTTCCAAGGGCATAGCCGCTTGTGGCAGTTTCTAAAAATAGACCTTTCTGATACAGGTCACTAAACAGGAATGGCCTCCGTGTCACTGTTTACAGTTTCCCATCTGACACCTTCAGAGCAGCAGTGCTGCCTGGAGGAGGCTGGGGACCCACGTCGGTCTGTGGGGCTTCCTGGGAAAGTGCAGCCCGGGCTGCAGCCCAAGAAGGGGGACATGCAGCAGCATCCTGACCGAGACCCGCCGTGTTTGGATGAAGGGCCCTTTCAACCTTTGTGTCATGATTCCTTGTCCGCGTTCCATCACTGTCTCAAAGTCAGGGGCAGAGGTCAAAAACCCCAGTCCCACCACGAGATACTAATGAACAGAAAAATAAGCTCATGTTCAGGAATGTACGACCCACACTGTTTTGTTTGTTTAGGCTAGCTTGCATTCTTTCCCCTTTGCAAACGCGTGAGTTGACAAGGCATCCTATCGTTGCAAATGTCATTTTGACACCTTCCCATAAAATGTGCAGAAAAGGCTCCCTTCTCTGATATTTTTGGAATAGCCCTATAACTATCAAGAGTTCTTTTCTTCCTGTGTAGTAATTCATGGATACCACTTTCCTGGCCCCTAAATGCAGATGACGTGGGTGGTATGAGAATTAAGAATTCTTGGGATTAAAATTCTGAAATTAAGCAAATGGGATAAAAGAATGGGGACACTTGGAATTGAATACAAATGAGGTGATTAAACTGGACCATCAGGCTTTCACATCCGTAAGTTCATAGTCAGTTCTGAAGAAATGGCTTATTTTGGATAAAATGTAGAATATTATATCTAGGAATCCATTTTTTAGAAGATTACAAATGAGGTGATTAAACTGGACCATCAGGCTTTCACGTCCGTAAGATTCATAGTCAGTTCTGAAGAACTGGCTTATTTTGGATCAAATGTAGAATATTATATCTAGGAATCCATTTTTTAAAAGATTTTTTTATTGATTTTTAGAAAGAGGGGAAAGGGAAGGAGAGAAAGAAACATTGATGTAAGAGAGATACATCGATCGACTGCCTCATACACAACCCCTACCAGGATCGAGCCTGCAACCTGGGTATGTGCCCTGACCGGGAATCAAACCAGCAACCTTTCGGCGCTCCGACAATGCCCAACCAACTGAGCCACACAGGCCAGGCCTAGGAATCAATTGTGATTTATGAGTTAGCTTGTCAACATTAATAAATAATCCCAGTAAGCTCTCACCTTTGTTAGCTTTGAGTGTTCTATGCATTTCTTTCTCTCATTTAATTCTCACAACAACCCCATAAAATAGGTATGATTATTACTCTATTTTAAAGAAGAGGAAACAGACTTTCAATAAGGCAACCTGGCCAAGGGGACAGACACCTCTAAGAAGTGTGGATTTGAACTCCCATCTAACTGACACAAAAGCCCATGCTTTTCAGCCAGTAGGTGTTCCGAGGAGCGGGTTTTCTGTGATTGCTCAAACCCCTGAACCAGCGTGGGTCTTCAGCCTCTGGGTGACCACAGTTTGGGTTCTGCCAATGCTTTTATTTATTTTGCTTTCAAAACAGTACACACTGGTGCCTTTTGTTTCCCCAGCAGTGTTGATTCAAATTCCCTTAAATAAATTAACCTTCCCCTCTTGTCTAACTCATTTGATGGGAGCAAGTCCACCTGCCAGTAAAAATAGAAACGGGAGAAACAACACAGCAAGAAGGGAGAAGCCACAGAGGGTTGTATGGTTATTAGAATGTGAGTACAGGTGCATCATTTTTCTGCTCTCCCCCAAAACAAAACAAAAAGAGCCCAAAGCTTGATTCTAATCAATCACAGTGTGTTCTGTAATTTTTAAATAGTTGATATACCTGATTAGTATGGAAATGTGGGAACATTCATTGTTTTTGTAAGAGGACTTTGGAGATTTTATCGCTTCTCTTCCAAATATTAAATGTTTGATAATGGTGCTAAGTTTAAGTGCTAGACCTGTGGGTACTAGCTCATAGCCCTGGAAGACTCTGTCCATTACAGGAGGGGCTGGGCTGGAGTCTGATCCAACCTCTGAAGGAGATGAGATGTGTCTTTGTGCTCTGTTCTTGCCAGCACCTAATGAAGGCCCCAGGCTTTATCCCATTAGTACCCACTGCTCTCTGCACACCCCACCCATTCTGTCTCAACTCTAACCTCTTCTAGGAATTGTTCCTCTACACCTGTCTCTTTTCTGGTTCCTCATTCAAACTTGCCTTTCGGTTTCTTGCTCCCTTTGAACCTTGTTGAGCTCTAAAGATATGGCTAAGAATAGCTAGAAGTCTTTGAGAACCATCCAATCTTGCATTGATATAAAATGGCAGTAATAAAGCTATTATTCATATTTTTTAAAGCAATTTGAAGGTTAGCAGGATCTTAACATAAAGGAATGTCTTCCCAATGGTGTTACCTCTGTGACAAATTGGTTGGAGCTATCTGTGGACAAATAAATAAGTGGGTCTTGTCAAAAGCCTTCAAGTCAGAAGATGACCTCAACCTCTTAAGGCTGACCTTGGCTCCTCCCTGTACAGTCAGGAAGAGTCTTAGTGGCCAGTGATGATGGGCCCTGAGGTGGGGTTGGAGAATATATAAAATGTCCTGAAAGGAAAGTGAACATGCTCATTTCACACTTTTGGAAATCATCTTACAGGTGTATGGTGGTCATTCAAATGTGACTGTCCAGGCCTTAAATATAGTGAAAAGAAACTGATGGGTATTTTTCAGGTATAGAGGCTTTTATCCCAGGCTAGTTTTCCTGTGCCACCCGACTGTTTCTGAGAGATTAACACAAGCTTGAAACCCAGTATGCACAAATTGGAGTTTAGCTTTGTCAATTGCTCTCCATTGGCACAACAATGAGACTGTATTGTGGTTGAGATTTGTGGGCTGAAGTAGGCAGTGTGATGAAGGGACACTCTGATAACCTATCACCCCATGTAAATGTGCACAGAAGGTCACGTGCAGGGTTGCCAGATTTAGCAAATCAAAATACAAGATGCCCCGTTTATATTTGGATTTCAGATAAACAACAACTAATTTTAAGTAAATGTCCCTGATTTTATCTAACAATCCTAGTCACATAACAATTTATATGTACAGAAGAAAAAAATGAATTCTTTATTCTGCCTAAATGTAATCTGTTATTCCCCATAAACCCATACTTGCTGGTCAGCAAGGAAACAGAGTTTTAGTCGTAGCCAAGCTAAAAGCTAGCCTGGTCTCATTGTTGAATAGTACCTGGAGGTGAGGCTTAGTCTTTCTTACATAAAATGTTCCCTTCTCACATGTAACCTTCCATCTCTACTGCCCAGCTGCTTTGCCAAGAGTGTCTGGGGTTTGGGGCAGGGGTGAGTGCAGGTCTTAGGGCACAGTGGTCTTCCCCATCACCTCTGACCTCCACCACTGAATTCTGCAGCTGTCAAATTCACGGTCAGCTCTGGCCTGGGTGATGCCCTGGGGGATCCCTGGCAACCTCCCCCCGGCAGACACACACATTAGATTCAGACGCCTTAGTGTCTGCTAAGTTCCCCAGCCCAGTAACCCCTGGCCCAGTGTTCACCTCAGGATCATCTCACCCCATCATAGCTGCCTCATCCCAGGTCTACTGGCTGGCATCTGATATCTGTCTGAATTGATCTGGGCCCCGTCTTCTCCAGTGTGAGATTCTTCTAGAGTCTCAATGGAGCAAACAGAGCCAAAATTCCCCAACGCCCTGGACATTGCCCTCACTTACCTCGCATCATGCACTCTTCTGCCTGAAGCCAGAGAGGTGAAATCAGAACTTGCCATCATCTTTCCCTCATTTCCACAATACTCTGGAATGGGAAGGGCTGGACTTTCTCGCTATTTTCTTACTTTGCTCTATGCTTCTGTTCTTCTATAACTGCAAGCCTCCTATCGTAGGTGGGAGGGGCATCTTCTTTGCACTGTGGAGAAAATGTGGTGATTGGAATCCTAGAGGCTTAACACTGGATATGTTGCATTGGTTCTCAAAAGTGTGGTCACTGACCAGAAATGTGTATGAAATGCAGATTCTCAGGTCCTCCTCTAGAACTACTGAATCAGAAACTGGGGTTTGGGACTAGCAATCGATGGTTTACCAAGCTTTCCAGGTGATTCTGATGCACCCTTAAGAACCCCAGCTTTAAAGATTTCAGCAAATTCTTTTATTCCCTCTTCTAGGTTCCAAGCCTAAAGTCTTATTAAATAGACCAAATACTCCCCAATCAATCTAGTTGATTAATATTGCTAGATAAACTTGAAACATGTTTTGGTTTAAAAAAAAAAAAAGGAATGTGCAGCCTTAAAAAAAGGAAGGAAATTTTGACACATGGTCCAACATGAGTGAACATTGAGGATGTTATGCTAAGTGAAATAAGCCAGTCTCAAAAAACAAATACTGCATAGATCCACAGGTGTGACGTACCTAAAGCAGTCAATTTCATAGATACGGAAAGTAGAATGATGGTTGCCGAAGCCTGGGGGAACCGATTACTGGGGAGTTATTGTTTTATGGGTACAGAGTTTCAGTTTTGTAAGATGAGAGGAGTTCTGGATATGGGTGGTGGTGATGTGTGCACAAAAATGTGAATGTACTTAATGTCACTGAACTGCACAATTAAAAATGGTTAAGGTGCTACATTTTGTTATGTATTTTACGGTCCAACACGAGTGAACTTTGAGGATGTTATGCTAAGTGAAATAAGCCAGTCTCAAAAAACAAATACTGCATAGATCCACAGGTGTGACGTACCTAAAGCAGTCAATTTCATAGATACGGAAAGTAGAATGATGGTTGCCGAAGCCTGGGGGAACCGATTACTGGGGAGTTATTGTTTTATGGGTACAGAGTTTCAGTTTTGTAAGATGAGAGGAGTTCTGGAGATGGGTGGTGGTGATGTGTGCACCACAATGTGAATGTACTTAATGTTACTGAACTGCACAATTAAAAATGGTTAAGGTGCTACATTTTGTTATGTGTATTTTACCACAATTTTAAAAAATTAATTAAAAATAAAAGAAGGAATTTGGTAGCTAAGCAAAGATTAAATTTGTGAGTTAAAAATGGCTTAAGTTCTTAAGCAACAGGTATTGATTCGAGGAAAGGTCACATGGCTAACTCGCCTGTTTATCTGTGGAACATAATCCTGGATGTTGGAGTTCAGGTCTAAACTTTGAAACAGGTGCTTCTAATAAGTTTGGGTACTTCACTAGATCGTGGTTGAGTTTCTGAGCTACCTGAAGTGTAAAAAGAAGATACAAACAGATCTGGCTCTAGAACTCAAATAGGATAGTTGGTCTTAGTGTGACTATTGAGATAAAAAGGTATTATGGAGTTTTTGCATATCTCAGACTAAAAGGCCTTCAGCATCAATGAACTGCTAGTGGCCTGTATCCTTCTACATAAAAAATATTGGCAAGCCATCAGCTTTCCCCCATCTGCTGAAAGAATGAGCCACCAGGGAGGGCCTGGCAGTGTACTCTGTCCATTGGCTTGAATAGGAGGTCGCCTAGTGCCTTTATTGCTCTACTCTGCCAATCATTGGGTATATGAGCCCATCCTCCCCAGAGGCAGCGATAAGGCGAAGGTGTTGGCAGATGTTGGCAGATGTTACTGGCAGCTTTAGACCTCACTCTACCTCCCAATAATATGCATTGATTGCTCACCCAATAAAATAATATCCTTAATATGAACAATTCATGTGTTCTCAATTTGTTAAAGAATGAATAAAAGCAGAGGGCCTGGCAGTGTACTCTGTCCATTGGCTTGAATAGAAGGTCGTCTAGTGCCTTTATTGCTCTACTCTGCTAATCACTGGGTATATGAGCCCATCCTCCCCAGAGGCAGCGATGAGGCAAAGGTGTTGGCAGATGGTAGCAGATGTTACTGGCAGCTTTAGACCCCTTCTACCTCCCAATAATAGGCATTGATTGCTCACCCAATAAAATAATAGTCTTAATATGAAAAATTCACGTGTTCTCAATTTGTTGAAGAATGAATAAAAGCATCTCTAGAAAACCACTCGGTCCAAGTGAAAACAGTGAATTTACTATGCAGAACACAGCTTCAAGACAAGTTCCTGCAGCTCCTTCACAATCCACTTGCCATCAGGAAGCCCTCTTACAGGAAATTCTGTCCCACTGTTCTAATCCCATTTCCAGGCTGCACAAATTTCCTGGGAGAGAGGAAATGGTTTTTTTTATTATACACCATTTTGCAAAATATTTAATTCTGTAATCAGCATGGAAAATGTTGAGGGCTACATGTTTGAAATGCTGATTTTTCTGGCAAAGCCATATGTTGTCAAGTGGCTATAGAAGCATTTTTTTTTCTTTTTTCTTTTTTTCTTTTTTTTCAATTTTAGTTGACATACAATATTATTTTAGTTTCAGGTGTATAATATAGTGACTAGACATTTATATAACTTATGAAGTGATCACCCAGATAAATCTAATACCCATCAGACACCATACCTAGTTATTATAATACTAGTATTAATAACTATATTCCCTATGCTGTACTTTACATCCCCAAAGAAGGATCTTTGAACACCCAAATCTGCCTCCTGTCTCAAAACTCTATTTATACAAGACAATGTTCTCATAAGCCCAAGAGAAAAGATAGCGAGGTATTTATTTTAATTTTGTTCATTAAGTTGTTTTAAAAATAAAAGTACGTAGCCCAGCCAGTGTTGCTCAGTGGTTGGGCATCTACCCATGAACCAGAAGGTCATGGTTCTATTCTTCATCAGGGCACATGCCCTGGTTGCAGGCTTGCTCCCCAGTAGGGGGCGTGCAGGAGGCAGCTGATTGATGATTCTCATCATTGATGTTTCTTTCCCTCTCCCTTCTTCTCTCTGAAATCAATAAAAACGTATTTATTAAAAGTTAAAAATAAAAGTACCTAGATAATAAACATTAGTTTCCAATACCTCTTTCAATACCTTTCCATACCACCACCAATCCTTATAATGTGAAGTATGAACTCCTAGTCAGACTCTAAATTGAATAAGGTTGATTATGCTCCTGGTTAAGAAATGAAGTTTGTTATATTCTTGTGGAAGAGTTAAGAAAACATGCCATTTACTAACTTTATGGGGAGGCTATGTAGTCCAGTGGAAAAGTCCCTGGGCTTTGTAATGGCCTTGCCTTGAACCTCGACTTCTCACGTATTGGCTGTGGAGGTAGCTGCATAACCTGCCACAGATCCAGTTTCCTTTAGCTGTACAGTTGGAATACATTCTATCTAAATTTGTATCTCAGTGGGTTGTTTAATGCTTAAGCGAGATACTCTATGTAGAGTGGCAAGTACATCTTGGCCTATGGTAGTCACACGGGAAATTATAGTTACCAGACAGAATAGGTGTGTGAGAGCAACAAGTAACAGAAGGGGCAGAGGCAGTTGGCTAAGTCTGTGGGCTCCATCCTTTGTTGGGTTTACCATGACTCTCTTCAGTTGTATCCTTGCTTAGTGAAGCCCAGTTTTATTTCTTTCAGACCTGAAGCAATTAGATCTGTCATCAATTTCTTGAGATTAAGATTTGAATTAGGCAACAACTGGCAAAGCTAATTGATGTGGAGGTCAAAGTGGGGGTGGGGAGTGTGGCATAGGCTGGAAACATCAGGAAGGAACCTTAGCAGATGCTGAAAATAGTCTATATATTCTTTACTGTTTACATAAGATTGGTGCACTTTACACACTATGTGTGTGTTGCACCTTAATACCAAAAAAAAAGGAAAAAATTAAAAATGAATTGAACTACATGTACGTAAGAATACAAAGGTCTCCACATATCAAATCCACTATTAGGTGAAGGAATTAAGAAGTACAAATCAGCAGTTACAGCATAGTCAGAGGATGTAAAACACAGCATACAAAATATAGGTAATAATATTGTAATCATTATGCATGGTGCCAGGTGGGTACTAGACTTATCGGGGGATCACTTTGGAAATTATATAAATGTCTCATCACTATGCGAAGTACAAATCGGCAGTTACAGCATAGTCATAGGATGTAAAACACAGCATACAGAATATAGGTAATAATATTGTAATCATTATGCATGGTGCCAGGTGGGTACTAGACTTATCGGGGGATCACTTTGGAAATTATATAAATGTCTCATCACTATGCTGTACACCTGAAAATAATCCTATCTAATAATAGACAAACATGGTAATTGACCATACCTTCGCTACGCCTCCCATTGGCTAATCAGCGTGATATGCAAATTAACCC